CACATCGAGATCGCTGCTTTCCCCACGGAGGAAAACCATCCCTGCGATGCTTGCAGGCGCTCTGGCCATCCTGCCTCTAGTGACGTAAAGCTCTACGGGAAGGCGTATTCCCTACAGACGCTAGAGCCGCTGGAAGATGAAGATCACGACAGCGACGACAATGAGGATTCCAGTAATGAAGACGATGGAAAGGAACGGGACCGGGATGGCCATGTCATTCCTCCCCAGAATGTCCGGTATTTCCTAGGAAAGTAAGTTTCATTTGGACAATCGTTTCATCAAAGACGACCCTCTAACCGTTTTCTTTGTTTCAACAGACAATGCAAGGCGAGAGCCCAGCTCGCCCACACCCTCACCCATTGGCGCTATCATCTCAATGAATGGGTCATTGACTTCCTCGAGCGTACGGGACACATGGAAGCCGATGAGATCCTCCGACGAAATGACCTGAGCGTCAAGCGAAAGACGCGGAATGCAAATGATGTCCTCGACAGCATGACTGGAAGTGGTGAAGTCGATAAGCTTTGGCGTGACTTCCACATTAATCTCAAGTCTGCCCGTGAGAAAGAGGTATGTTCTTGTTGCGGGTTCAAGACGTTTTCATGACACTAACCAGACCTGTCCATTATTTAGTCGATCTACGGATGATGAGATGGTCATATCCAAGAGCCAGCTTACCCAAGGGTCAATATTTTTCCTCCAGTAGCTTTATCATGAATTCCCACAAAGACTACGACCCTTATAACTAGTCTCATGACGTCGCTTTCCTTTTGCGAACTTTCTCTGGTGCTTAGCCTTTCACAATGATACCCATTTTTTCTTTGCACATTCCCAGTCATGTCCAGCTAGCCTATTACGAGGACCGGCGAGCTCAGCATAGCAACAGCAAGCTGGCTAACTCAAGAAACCCCTGTTTCTATATCCAATTTTAAGGTATTTGTAGGCCTTCTTTATCTAGCCCCTGTAAGAAGGCTAGGACTACAAAATGCAAATTAGATAACCAAACCCATCCTTTTCATTACCTGGACATGCACATTGAGAGAAGAAAAAAGAGGTATAGAGAAACAGGAAGAAAGATGATTGGGGTTGTACAAATACATGCATGCATAAGCTGCCGGAGCCAAAATGTCAGAGAGCATGAGAGATGCGAGGAGATAAAAAGGAAGTAAAAAAACAAGAAGTATAACAAAGATCCGAACAAGTCAAGACAAGAAGAGAATCGGGAAACCAACTCCTTCCGAGTGCTTATAGTCCTGTATTTTGAGATCTGGCCAAAATAGGCGATTGGAAATCCCAGGTAACAGAATCGAGCCGGCACGCGCTTGGGTACGCTGCTTGCATGACACCAAGTCTCGCGATCGATCGTATCGCTGGATTCTTCTCCAATCTCTCTGCTTTCCGAGGTGGTATTAATTTACAGAGTGGGTTGAGCAACCTTCTCGGTTTCGGTGCCGGGGGTGAGCATCTGCAAGTAGGAATCATAGTCAGTATAACAATTCAATAACTAGGATTCCGGTGAAGAGATCGAAAATCGGATGTGATGATAGTGTTGAGAAGAGAATTTTGAACATTGCCGAGGTGCGAATACCCGAGGCAATGTACACGGTGTCAATTGTGCAAATGACAGCACGAATTGGGTATCAAGAGAATTGTTGCAGTTTCCATAAAACAAAGAAGACAGAGACAGAAGGAAAAACAAAACACATACCTCGTTAGCTCCCTTGATCATTCCCTGCTCGCGCTCCATCTGGATGTACTGCTCCTCCTCGGCGTAGGCCAAGGCGAATGGCACACCAAGCAAGAAAGCACTGGTGCTGATAATCCAGAGGGCCTTGCCACTGAATGAGAAGCTGGCCTTGGTGAGGTCTGTGATGGAAGAGACGGTGTTGGAGACGGTGCGGCGGGCGGAGGGGGGAATCATGTCTTTCAGAGCGGCGATACGCTCGTAGACTGACTCGGCCTCGAGCTCGACATCCTCATCGTCGGAGATCTCAGAGTCTGTTGTTCATTGGAATCCATGTCAGATAAGGTTCTTGATGTTTATTTGCGACTGATGTGTTCATTTCTGCGGTTTCGAGGTCGCGTTGTTGGGGGGTTGGAATTGGAAACTGGGACGATATGAGGAAATCCAGGGACCAGGGTATCCTCCCATCGAATCAATTCCCCATGCAAATGACAATGACGCGATGCGAGTTCCGTCTAGGTATGGGCGTTCGGGATTCGGTACTAACCAGTGTCTGAGTAGTCATCCTCGTCATCAGAGACCAGGAGAGCGTCGTTCTTGGTGGCAGTGGGCTTGTCGGTGAAGTGCTCGTCTTCGACTTCGGTAAGTTTGACCATTTTGGGCGGTTTGGATGAGGATGACGAAGGGGATCTAGTTAAAGGTGATGGTTGAATGATGGAAAGTCGATCTGGTTTCGCTCCGACTTTTTTGCCGAAAAGCGGCGAAGAGCTTGGACCCACCGACAACGATGTCATTTGTTTTTAGGATCTTAGGAAGTGATGAGTATGAAAAGATGAATGGGTGAATGAATAAAAAGGTAGATAAAAAGGTAAGAGCTGAGAAAGGCTAGGTGTTCATATAAAGCCTGTTTTAGAAGAGAAGTGTATTCTACAGAGTGGAAATGCTGGCCATGGTCTATAATTACAGATCATCATCTAGATGCAACCACTTCACCCACATGACCCTTAGATCCACGAGAGACCAGAGGCGTGTAATCTAATATTTACCGCCGGCCAAGCTTCCACCGGGAAATCCGCTCTTGGATCTCCTCCCAGGGGAAAGAGCGGAGCTTGTAACCTTCCAACTCGCCCTCTTGCAACACAACAGTAGGCTTACCAGTGCCCTTACCATCGTTGTGGACCTGGCCACCGAAGACCTTGCGAGCCACACGGCGGAGGTCCTCGACAGTGAGGGCCTCAATTTGCTGACACATTTCCCGGACACTGACCTTGCGGCCGTGGACCTGCACCTGGCGTCCAAGATCCTCAAGCTCGACCATGCGAGACTCCAGGTTCATGAGCAGCGAGGAACGGAGCTGGTTCTTCGCACGGTTGACTTCCTGGGCTTGCAGCGAGCTGTACCCAGTGTCCAAAGTCAGGGACTGCAGCTCACGGCACATGACTTCGAGCATCTCAGTGATCCGGGTTGGGCTGCAGGATGCGGAGATTCCGAAGATTCCACTATCGGTGTAGCTGTGGTTGAAAGCAATGCAGCTCTCGACCCAACCGTGCTGGTTCAGCACGTTAGTGTAGAGTCGTGAGTACATACCCTTTCCAGGGCCACCAGCCGAGAATGAGCCACCACCACCAAGGAGGGTCTGAAGAGTAGCAAGAGCATAGATATCAGGCGAGGAGATGGGGAGAGCCTCGAATGCAAGGTGGATGTGACTTAGGCGAGGAAGCATGGGGCTGGCTGGCGGAGGAATCGAGGGGAGTGCAATAAATCCACCAGTGTAATGAGCAGGTTGGCGGAGGTTTAGCGCGTGGGGCTCGACTAGGGATGAGTGGAGAGGCTCGACTGAAGAGCTCTTGGAGGAAGTGAGGTTCTTGAGGAATGGAAGCTTCGACAAGAGCGAAGTGTGTGTCTTTTCGGAAGCAGCGGGGCTGCTGATTGTCGATGAGGGTGTGAAGGAAGGAACGGTCGGCACCTGGCCTTCATGGGCGACTGTTCGGGAATCAGATAGTGTGGTTTCGATTCCACTGCCTGACAGTACAGGACCCTTGGTCTTGCCGATGTCTCTCGGCTTCATGTCGCCAAAGTATTTCTCTGTGAGCTTGACAGCCTCCCCGTGTGGCAGTCCGGCAAACGCAACCACCATCCGGTCCGGGTTGAAGAAAAGTTCCCTATAGCGCTCCACCACTGCCTTGTTGATTTCGCCTAGCCGTTCTTCCGGGCACAGTAGCGGATTTCCGAGAGTATTGTCGGCGTATGCAGTCATGTGCACCAATTCCGGAAGGATGAGTTCCGGCTTCGCCCAAATCTCGCCGATCTCGTACTCCGCTGTTGCGAGCTGTTGGATAACCTCCTCTTCCGTGATGAGGGGATCTCGGATGGTCTCTGCAAGCAGACCGAGTGTGGTAGGAACTGCCGAGTTGAAACTAGCAGACTGGTACATCAATGACTCCCGGGATGAGGCACACTGGATGTTACCGCCTAGGGACTCAAGAATCTCAAGCATTTCATCTCCAGTACGCGCCTTGGTAGACTTGAATGCTAGACGGTCCATAATGTGGCTAACTCCGCGCAGGCTCTCATCTTCGTAACGAGATCCGGCATCGACGTAGACTCCGACACCAGCGAAGGGACCCGGTAATGATTCCGTGGCGACGCGAACTCCATTAGGAAGTGTGGTGATTTGTTCTAGCTCGGCGGGATCCTGCGGATAAATAAACAATTTGTCAGTTACATATAACTTTACGTTGTAGGGCCTAACGGGACTCTCTTACCTTGGCCGAATCATTGATGGTAGAGAAGCTTCTTGACACGGCGCGAGGAGCTCGTGTCAATGGCTTCGTGGACTCGATGGCCCGCAATGCTGTGCGGCGCATGATGGTTAATTCTGTACAAATGCAACAGCCTGGTCAATTCAGTATTTTTTGTTGCACCGAATATACCCGGAAGAGGTGATGTGATGTAGCTCGGACGGATTGTCGGCGAAGAATCGTAGGTTAATGGAGCCTCGATCCGAAATGCTTAGCTAATCCGTTGCATGACAGATGGCCCAGATGTTCTTCGACGATAATAAATCCTATACGATGGAATCATTAATGTTCTTGCCAGAAAGCGGTGTTCGATGTGATTTTTTTTACTTCATTTGTGTGTAGATCCAGCAGGGCCTGCCCAGGTTTCTAGTCCGCTTACCCCGAGGCCAAAACCTGCAGTGCTCGAATATATACTTGTGAACATGTGGACGTGGAATCTTATGACATTTAATCTGCGACAACTTTCGAAATAACAATGAATGGTCAATTTTTCTATGGGATAAAGAATTATATAACTAAGGGTGTTCCGATGCCCAGTTTCTATACCAATCAAGACATAAAGCATTTGCAACACTTGCACCAATCTTGATATTAAGCCCACACAAGATCTGCTTGACAGCATTCTCGACCTTCTTGCCATTAGAAGTCACCGGAATCTCGGGACATGCGTCAATAACGCCAGGGACATGGCGAGGGCTAAGTTCCTTCCGAATGGTGGACTGAATGCGTGCCGCGAGATCCGACGGCATACCAGACTCATTGCCGGCAGCAAGTCGGACAAACAGAACGACCGTTTCATCCGCGTCGATGCCATCTCGTCTCCGGCCGATGCAAAGAGAATCTTCCACGTCGTCGGCGAAATGCTTGAGTAGAATATTGTAGATCTCAGCACTTCCAAATCGTACTCCGGAGGGCTTAAGTACGCCGTCGCTGCGGCCTAGCATGACCACACCTCCAGTTTGCGGGTTCAAGCGTACATAGTCTCCATGGTGCCAGACTGAGGGCCCGAACACGTCGAAGTAGCTCTTTCGGTACTTCTCCAAGCCGGTTTGTCCCTGGGGCCAGAACATGACTGGTTGGGCCGGGAAGGGTGTGACGCAGACAAGATCACCGGGTTCGCCTGTTGCGCTGATATCGTTGCCAGCATAGTCGAACACTGAGATGTCCATCCCTAGTGAGCGACATTGGATTTCTCCTTTGTAAACAGGAAGAATGGGGCAGCCAGAGGCGAACAAAGATAGGATGTCTGTGCCACCGGTGATGGAACCAAGCATGATGTCGTGGTGGAAAGAGGAATAAACGTATTCGAATGTCGATGGTGCCAATGGGGACCCAGTACTGAAGATGGCCCTTAGGGTCTTCAATGACACTGGCCGATTGGTATGCTTGCGGGGGTTCAAAGCAGCTTGTTCGAGGAGAGAGAGGTATTTAGCTGATGTACCGAAATGGGTAATTTGAAGCTCTTCAATCAGTCGCGGCATGGCCATCTCTCCCTTTCCGCCTTCAACATCAAAGGGTCGGAAGGGTGAACCATCATACAGGACGATTGTCGCTCCACTGGCCAAGCCCGATACTAGCCAGTGCCACATCATCCAGGTTGTCGTTGTGAAGTAGAACAAGCGATCGCCAGGTCGGATGTCACAGTGAAGGAGATGCTCTTTCTTGTGTTGCAACAATGTGCCCAGAGACCCATGAACGATAGGCTTGGGAGCTCCTGTTGTACCGGACGAGTACAAGATGTAGACAGGATGATCCGGTCTCAAGCTTGCGAACTCCAATGGCGCCTGAGGGTTCTTGACTCCAGACACGAAATCACCATAAACCTTTGCTTTCCCATTTGCAGGTTGAAGATCATTGAGGTTAACCTCAAGTTCTGGGGTAGTGATAAAGAGCACCAAAAGCTCAAGGTCTGGCAATTCAGAGACAATCTCCCATACCTTGGCATATGAGCTGTGCACCTTGCCATTGTAAAAGGAGCCATTGTCTGCAAAGAGAATCTTAGGCTGGATTTGCTTCAAGCGCTCCAAGACAGCATGCACACCCGTGTCAGGTGACACGCCAGTCCAAAAGGCTCCGATCGAGGCTGCGGCCAACATTGCCACGACGGTATTAGCATGATTGCCTACGAAGCCAGCGACACGATCGCCGGTCTTCAGACCTGCTTCTTTCAACGCATTTGCACACAGCCGAACTCGCTCTCGCAGCTCCTTCCACGAAATGAATTCGCGGGCTGCTTCAGTGGCGCCAATGACTGCTACGGAATCTTCATCCGGCGAGGTGGCGGGATAAAGGAGATTCTCGGCGAAGTTCAAAGTGCTGCCTTCGAAGAATGAAGGTCTAGGAAATAGCACATCTTTTGAACCAAGGACCTATATATATCGGGTTAGGACCGGGTATCTTCTGATGTTCCAAGATAATGCATCCAACATTGAATGGAAATTACTCACCTGTTGGTATGGATTGTGAGCATTGATTTTCGTATAGTGCCAGATTTCTTCCCAGAATTGGGCTGGTTCAGAAACACTCCATTTCCAGAGAGCGTCGTAGTTATTCAGTGACAAGCCATACTTCTTGTTCACTTTAGTCATGAAATCATAGATCTGGGTTGTCTCGGGAGAAGAGGGCCGCCAGAGCTCCTTGACCTCCGGCTCAACGGTTTCATCGATAAGAGGCATAGTTAATAATGTTTGTGGTAGCGCAATCAAGCCAGGGATAGGAATTGGGAGTGTCGAGTTGAGATTGAACAAATCTGGGGCTCTATTGTTACACCCACAATGTGGCAATAGACTTTCCAACGGATTGAAAGGATTTAGGGCTTCGTAGGGACAGGGGTCAAAGCTTGATAAGTCAAGTCACACGCAAATACCCCAGGGGGTATCGGGCGGGAATGATCGGGTACTGATTTACCGATCTCCGCGGCTACGGGGAAGTCTTCTATAAAAGGCCGACTTGAATTGTGAATTGCGAATTGTGCTTTTGATATATGCATATAACTATATAGTCCAGACCTCGGGATCTTAGGATAGAAAGTGCTGCCTCAGGCATCTAGCCGTTTTCGAATCTTATAGTGGTGATGTAGTCACAGAATAAAATCGGCATGATGTTGAGTATTTTCAAGGTTTACTCGGATATACCGGATGAGCATGAAATGCTTATGACTTTTTTGCTAGCATATACATGTTCGTGTTCTCGTACTCTGTAAAAAAACTTCAGGGGCAAACTGGATTCGACCCCGAATTGTGGACATTGTGGACATTGTGGACAGTGTGGACAGTATGGACTGTGTGGATTGTGTGGGTTGTTGGTCTTCTTAGCCTTGGGCCTTTTCGGGTCCGAAATTTTAGTGCGAAAAAAAACCCCTTTAGTATTGGTATGGTAATATTACCTCCTTGTCAAGATTCATTAACCAATCACATGTAATTATCATTGTACTGCAGACGTTTTTAATTAATACCAGGAGGTGCATGGGTTCTACACAGCTTAGGAAACACGGAGGTCTCTTATTTACCTTCTCACTCTCCTTCTTCTTCAACCCTATGCTTGTTTCGGTGCTTCATTGTTTCTGTTCCCATATTGATCTCTTCGTCATCTGAACGTAGGGCTCTTTGCCCCTTCGTGTATCTTGCCCCCTCCATTCCACGTGCACGCGATTTTTAAGCCCCTTCGGAGTATTCGGCTCCCGCTCGAATCAACCTTGCGGTACGTCTCAATCTGTGAAACTTGTGATCTGGCAGTTCCCGATGGGTGATTCGGGAACTGGGTATGGCTCAGGGGGTATTGATGGCCCAGAACGCTAATTGGTTTCTAGATCGGACCAACATAGCCCACTCAAAAGGCGTCAGCTTTCAACTACCTCCGGTAGTCCCTGCCCTAAATTCGTCAACTCGGACGCGCCCAACACAAAGCGCCTTCGATCCTGACGTGAAAAAAAAAAGACCCGACCCAAAACTTTAGCGCTGTTTCCTCCTGCGATGCCTCGTCGATTTGGCAGCAACTCCTCGAACGACACCTCTACCAACCCGCCGTCCTTTTCACCTTCTTCGGGAAAGGGCGGTATCTCCATCAAGGCCCCCACGGTCAAGTCTAGTCGCCTTTCTCAATTATTTTCGTCCTCGCCAAAGTCCAAGACGGAAACTGTGCAGAGTGGGCATTCCCAACCTAACAATTCTTCTCCGCCGATAAGTCTGGCCTCACTGTCCCTACCGACGATCTCTCTCTCAACAGCCACTGCGGATAATCCCAACATGGACGAGCTGCCTACAACACTCTTCCAGCCTCCGACCCCGGAGGAGACTCGTCGGCTGGCCAAGCAACATGCCCAGTTTGGTCCCATCGGTCATCCCAGCCACCGATACTCCAGTCAACACCCTGGTGGTGTCTTCCCGGAGCCGGTGATGGACGAGCCGCCGTATTATTACCTGCTCACCACCTATATCAGTTACCTAATCCTAATCGCTTTCGGGCATGTTCGTGATTTCTTTGGCAAGCGATTCCGCGAAGAACACTACCGCCATCTCAAGCCTCGCAATGGTTATGGTGCTCTGAACAGCGATTTCGACAACTTCTATGTGCGTCGTTTGAAATTGCGTATCAACGACTGCTTCGAGCGCCCCGTAACAGGTGTTCCCGGCCGCACCATTACTCTTATCGATCGGGCCACGGATGACCACAACCAGCACTTCTTCCTGACGGGCACTACCACCGACACCCTCAATCTGAGCTCGTACAACTACCTTGGTTTCGCTCAGTCGGATGGCCCTTGTGCCGATCTTGCAGAAGAAGCCGTCAAGAAGTATGGTATTGCAGCACCCAGCACCCGTGCGGAGTCCGGCACACAGGATTTGCACGTCGAAGTAGAGGAACTGGTTGCCAAGTTTGTGGGCAAAGAATCGTCGATGATTTTCTCCATGGGCTTCGGCACCAACGCAACCGTTTTCCCCGCCTTGGTCTCGAAGGGATGCCTCTTGATCTCCGATGAACTGAACCACGCCTCGATCCGTTTCGGTGCTCGCCTCTCTGGCGCCTCCATCGCTATGTTCAAACACAATGACATGAAGGACCTCGAGTCCAGACTTCGAGAGGCCATCTCTCAGGGACAACCCCGCACTCATCGGCCCTGGAAGAAGATTCTGGTTGTGGTCGAGGGACTCTACTCGATGGAAGGCTCCATGTGCAACCTTCCTGGTCTTGTACAATTGAAGCGCCGGTACAAGTTCAACCTCTTCGTCGATGAGGCCCACTCCATTGGAGCCATTGGTCCCAAGGGACGTGGTGTTTGCGATTACTTCAGTATCGATACCTCCGAGGTCGATATCCTGATGGGCACACTTACAAAGTCATTCGGTGCCAACGGTGGCTACATTGCGGCGGACAAGGTGATGATCGATCAACTTCGTGCCACCAACCCCGGTGTCTACTACGGAGAGTCTCCCGCGCCTGCAGTGCTTTCCCAGATCTCTTCCGCTCTCCGCATCATTAGCGGTGAGCTCGTTCCCGGCCAGGGTGAGGAGCGATTGCAGCGATTGGCTTTCAATTCCCGATACCTCCGTCTCGGTTTGAAGCGTCTTGGCTTTATAGTGTATGGTCACGATGATTCACCAATCATTCCACTCCTTCTCTTTAACCCGGCTAAGATGCCTGCATTCTCCCACGAGATGCTCCGGCGAAAGATCTCCGTCGTGGTTGTTGGTTACCCGGCCACCCCGCTGGTCTCATCACGTGCTCGTTTCTGTGTCTCTGCTGCACACACCAAAGACGATCTTGACCGTGTGCTGACCGCTTGCGATGAAATTGGCAACGTCCTCCAGTTGAAATTCTCTACTGGTATCGCGGGTGGTGCGCTGCCTGCTGCCGAACTGCCATCTCCTCCACCAGAGCTGGAGAAGGAATGGCACCGCAAGCGCTCGGACAATATTTCCCCTCCCCGCTGGCGCGTCGAGGATGTCATCCGACGTGGAGTCCAGGATGTCAAGAATCCCTTGTACTAGTACTAGATTGGCTTCTTTCTCCTACCGGTTGACATGACGTCTTGAGTTCATCAGGCTTTGAGATGAGTCTTCGGTTGGGGTGTTTTTCCACAAGCACGGTTGTTGCTGGTCACATCGTGCCGGGGTCTTAATTCCATGTGCCCCCTTTATCTTTGTTCTGGGTTCCTAGCACATGCATAAAAGCAAGTGAACTTCCTCAGACTAGAAAGAAAAGAGGAACTTGGGAAAAAAAAACAAAAGAAACCAAAACGGTCATGAGTTATTCGAACAAGCAACGAATGAATATGCCCCGTTCCCTATGATCCTTCTACTCTTGCTTCCCGTTTACATCCATACAGTATTTCATGTTACTTTTTTTGTTACTGTGATTCTTCTCAAGATATTCCCTAATAATGTTTCACCCATTGCTCTCAATCCTCGTATCTATCCGGCACCTTGCCAACAGACCTCGATAATTGGGATGCCTGATGGGAATACTGCTCCGATGTACAACATGTATCATCATACAGGGCAAAGGCCGGCTCCTTTTCGATTCTTTTTTTTTTTTTTTTTGCTTTTTTTCTATTTCTCCTTGTGATCAGCATATCTCATTCCAACCCAGGGAGTTGGTTTTTTATCCAATTCCTGGGTTCTTGAGGTGTGGCATAGGGCTTGGTCATTGGATTTGCGTTGTGCATATCATGGATATGGATATGGATTGGAAATGGGAACACAGACTGGCTATGACTATTGCCATCGCACAATACGTTACCCTACTATTGGCTACTCGGCATGTATTTGTCGAACTTATTTGCTGGGTTTGTGATAAGTTGCCGATGTCTGTCTTTTTGATGTCTTTTTTGATGTCTTTATGCCTTTTTTGTTCTACTATGTTTATAATTAGATCATTGAGATAGCTGTCCATATTCTTCAATTCTTCAGATCTCTTTCGTCATAGTGCTGTTTGGTTAGGGGGGTTTTTTTTATGAAAGAAGGCAAACAAGGATACATGTAAAGAGAAATATTGCCAAAAAGTTCAGTTGTCGCAGGGTTATAGTGAAGAGGTGATACAAGGGTAACCTTGCGAGATCTATAAAATATGGCAACTCAGTCACAGGTCGCGCTTTCCTTTTACACCTTTCTTTTTCCCTGCCCTCTTTCTCTCTCAATATTTTATTCTACCATCTTCCACCGCTTTCACGGGCTCCTAAGCTTTAAGACGTGGGAGTACTTCGAAACCCCCGTGGAATTCCTCCGGACATCCAACGGCAGCTACATGGCTGTTCTTGCCTGTATCTGGTGGACTCGAGAATGGCGCCAAAGCGGATTCTTACATACTCTTGATACTCTTATCAATCGTGGGTATCTCAGCCTACTAGAAAATGTGTTCCTGTTTTTGTTTGGGAATTCCAAGAACCCAGATCCTGTTCTAGCCGCCGGCGAGATGCTATGCTCCCCGGCAACACTATCGCGAGATAGCTAATATCTATATCTAGCTCCGAACTAGACGACCTTCCTACGTTAATACGTTACTGATTATATCCCGTGGTTAGCGGTTTCCGGGTATCTGTACGGAGTCTCATACTAGCTACCCTTTCTTTAGAGTCGTACGACTTCCTGGTTTCTAGGAAGGGAGCTATGCGAATTATAAATAGAAGGAGCGTACGAGTATGCTGTATTCCATGTGCCCCAAAATGCAGTCACCAGTATATCACATATCACCTCGGAACAACCAGATCACTCCTCAACACCCACTTCTCTCCCCCAGTAACCTCAGCCCCCTCATGCAGCATACAATGATCTCCATGTCGATGCAACAGCGCCATCCCAACCTCCGGCGCAACAGCTATCGGCTCCGGATTACGGTTTGCGCGCGTCGGCTCAGGATAGAAGACTGTTTCACCACCTGTACAAGACGTCAGGTAGACCAGGAGTGTCCATGTCGTGCGTGCGGGTGTTGCTTTCGAGCGCAAGTTCGGCGGGGGGAGGGTTATGTTATTAGTATCGTCGTCTGCGATTGCGTTAGATTAACTTTGCTTGTAAGGAAATGCTCGTACAATCCAAGAGAGCTTCTTACAATGTTGTCCAAAGAACTGTCCTGCCGAGTATCGATAAATACGAATATTAGGATTCAACCCCAACGGATCCCCGCCCCAGAGTTGACGTGCGCGTTCAGCGAGCGGCGAATTAGTGCTAGTACCATCATCCTCGGTATCGTGCTGGTACCCGTATTCGTCTTCTTCAAAGCGCGTTGTGACAAGCTCTTTCAGCGCCGTCGTGCTCCATAGCATCTCCGCAAACCGCGCATCGTCGATCTGGAACCGGTCGTTGACGCGTAAGGCTTCATCTTTCTTAGGAGTTCCAGGTGTTGTTGTTAGGGGGAGTGAGGCTAGGAATAAGGCGTAGGTTTTGCATAGGGTGCTTGGGAGGAAATTGCGGATTAGGTAGATTTGGTCGGTGAGGAGGGGGGTCAGGGCTAGATCGGCGGCGGGGAGGAGGGGGCGGAGGGGTGGCCAGTTTGGGGTTGATTTTGGGGTTGATTTTGGTTGGGGTTTTGGGTCGGGTTTTTTGAATTTGGCCATTTTGGTTCTTGTGGTGAGTGGTGAGTATGTAGGTGAAGATGAAAGTGAATGTATAGGTATAGGTAGATGTAGAGGGAAATGGTCTAGAGCTTTTTTTATCGCGATAAGATCCCATTGCCCTGGGTAGGTATACAAACTACATGTAGAGCAAATTGGTTTCTATATATACATACTCTGCTTCCCCAGAATATGTATTATACATTCTACACCCCTTGCATATGATATAGATATGGCCCTGGTAGGAATTGTATTTGCCCAAAGTACTCCTGTCTTGATTTCCCCTCATCTCAGAGGCAAACTGAATATCAGAGGGGTCGAGACTCTCTAGACAATAAACCGAGGCAATGTGAGGTTATAGGAATAAAACGAGGCCAATTGTATACAAGTATAGCCCAGTGGCACATCTGACATATAGATCTAGGCTCTTTTGATCAACAAAATCGGTGAGGAACCAGTCCATACAGGTGGATCAGGTCGGAGAGAATATGGATTTGGGCGGGGCGGGAAAGAAAATTTGTCCCGGAAGAGGATCGTCGGCGCTTTTCCTTTCCAACGTTTCCCCAACCGTAAACATTTCCAGCATGTCTGTCAAGTCAAATCGCAATCCTGAGAACTAGAGAAAAACAAGAACAAAAAGAAAAAAAACATGCCTCAGCGGTGACTACGGCCATCTGCAGCGACCAAATTGGCCATCGCTCACCGCCCGGGCCCAAGTTGAGAACTTCCCTTCTGGAACTTCATTCCTCTCCCTTCCCCAGCACCAGCCTGTCATGTCGTCGCAGACCATGACTGCGCCAGCCGTGGGCCATCGACCGCCTGACCCAGGCTCCGATAGCCCGCTGTATGATTATGGCTGCTCACCAAACACCACAACCCCTTCCAATCCTCGAGACGACTCCGCAATCCGCGACATGCAGAATAATTCTGCCCCGTCAACTCCCAATGGGATGCCCGCCCCGGACGTCGCAATCAAAACTGAATGCTCGGACAACAACGATTTTTCAGCTGCGCAACACCAACAAGATGCAAATACGCAAAGCGCCGCAAGTGCACTCCTAGCGCAGCTCCTCGGTAATCAACCTGCGGCCAACGCTACCCCAACTACAATACAACCTGCACAACAGGACGAGGACCAGGATATTCATATGGATATTAAGATGGACGACTCAATATCACGGTCATTTGACATGTCTGCACAGAACCCCACGCCCATCGACCCGAGCTTACACCAAGACACCGCCTCGATATCTCGCGAGATTCAGGACCTACTGAATGGGAAAGCTTTAGGTGACGAGCTCATGGGAACAAATTCTGCACACCACGATATGAGCCATACAGGATTCAACTCGTCCGATGCCATGAATACCTTGTCCGACCCAATGAACCCGAAATTGAACAACGAGCAGCCCTCGCTCCTTCCAGCCTTGGACTTTTCTGCCGCCCCAAAAAATGCGTTTGAAGCTCTCCAGCAAAACGAACTGCTCACAGCCGCCTTCCTTTCGCAAAATGCCGATCTGTCAGCGCTAGGATATCAAGATATGGCCGCTTCAATTGCTGGATCTGAACCTAAGATCCAAGCATTTGCCAAGTTGGAGTTTGATGATGGGCATTTCTACGTCAATACCTATTCATTCATTCTAGGGCGAGACGTGCGCGCCGCCCGCGCCGCCCATCACCGAGAGTTCCAGTACCGGCAGGCCGTGCGCAGCACTCGGGCGAAGAGTTCAAGTGGAGGAAATACATCTCACACTCCCAACCGCATGAAACGGGAGGAAAGCGCTGCCATGATGGGCAGTGTTGTCAGTGATCGGGGAGGTATTATGGGCTTTGATCCAGATATACCCCCCCATCTTCCGAACAATATGAACGTGAGCCGGCGGTCATCAAAATCCTCCTTTGATGATGCTGTTGTACCGTTACATGCTAACCCGGCTCAACTACAATCCACAACCGACTACAATGCGCTCGCCATGCAATCTTTGCAGGATGGAAACGGAGACGCAAAACCTGTTGATGCGCTGGCTTTGCTCCCATCCCCTGATTCTTGTCCTACCATCCCAATTCACCCCCCAACGACCGTTGACGGCAGTGCTGCAGGCCATCGAGGGATTTCCCGAAGGCATGTCCGAATCTCATACAACTTTGATCGTAATTTGTTTGAAATGGAAGTAATGGGACGCAATGGAGCATTTATTGGGGCTGATTGGCTATCGCCAGGGCAGGTTCGCCCGTTACACAGCGGCGACTACATCCAGATTGGAGGCGTGCGCATCCGGTTTTTGCTACCAGATGTTCCCATCGGCGAAACTGGAGCCGACCGGGTGGAAGAAAAGATGGCGGAAAAGCGTGAAGAGGAAGAAGAGAAAGATGCCCGTGCTTCGATCGAGATGGATGATGATATCGATGAATCCGAGAGGCTTGGAAGCGACAGCGGCGAGAGCAGGGAACCTTCAAAGAAGATCATCCTCAAGACAAAGGATTCCAAATTGTCTCAAACGATGGATTCTATCGAGCCTGGGGATAATGATTCGCAGCCGGCCCGCCGCCGGGGACCAGGACGCCCTCCCAAGGATGGGATCATGTCTAAGCGCGAGCGAGCTGAGCTTGCCCGGGAGCAGAAAAACGCGGCCAAGCGCGAGGCCAACGGAGGTATCACGCCACCTCCACCTAAGATACCCAAGGCTGGGAAGACAGTTGCCAAAGAATCTGTCGTTCCCGAGTCGCCAAAACCGTCCGAGAAGCGGAAATACACCAAGAGAAAGAAGCCAGATGGGACCCCAATGGATTCTCCCCTTCCCTCAACAGAAGGGGGCCAAATGTCTGCAGAGCCACCGCAAGAATACGTCAAACCCCCACCGGTCAAAAAGCGCAAACCATCACGGTCACCGTCTCCTAACTACCCTCCGGAGTCTGCTTACAATGCCGAGGATCTGGCAAAGCCCCCGTACAACTACGCCGTTCTCATCTTTGATGCTTTGACGGAAGCCGGAACGCCAATGACGTTGAAGCAGATCTACCGTGCGCTGAAACTGAAGTATCCCTACTTCCGCTTCAAGTGTGAGACTGAGGGCTGGACATCCAGTGTACGGCACAACCTGAACGGCAACGGTCATTTGTTCATGCACGCAGAGCGAGATGGCAAGGGTTGGTCATGGCAACTTATTCCTGGCGCGTCGGTTGAGAAGGAAAAGAAACGACGCCCTTCGCCGCCACCGCAGGTGTCCCATCCTCCTGCGCCTGTTCCCCAGCAGTACATGCCCATGTCTCACTCTTATGCACCACCACCTCAGGGCCCTCCGCCGGTCCCAAATCCGCCACAGCATTTCCAATTCCCTTCCATACCGCCTGCTCCTTTCCCGGCATCTGTTAATGTGGGGGGACCACCACATTCCAGTCCCTACCCACCTCCATCGAAGGCCCCTGCACCTACACCCCCCGCTCCTCCTCCTGCTCCCCCGGTTCAAGCTCCTGCTCCTCCGGTTCAAGCTCCTGCTCCTGCTCCGCCCCCACCTCAGACTGTGACACCGGCACCGGCACCGGCACCGGTACCCCCGCCAGCGCCTACACCTGCTCCTGTCTCTGCCCCTATCCCGTCGCCGGTTCCGACACCTACTCCGGCTCCTATGCCCGCATCGGCACCCGCCCCTACACAGGCACCCACGCCAGTACAGACGGCACCGCCGCCGGCCTCGGCACCAGCACCGGCACCACCCATCAATCCAGCTGCATCCTTCCCCATCCCCAGTCAGCTCCGCAACAACCTCCCAGCTGCGTTTGCGGCGACCATCCCTTCAACCTACACTTCGCCCTACGCATCCGCCCCTGCTCCACAAGCCGGCCAGCAGCAACAGTTGCAGACCCCACGACCTCCTCACGGACCACCTCAGCATCATTCCCCTTACGCACAACAAAAGCCGCCATCATCTCAACCTCCTCATAACAACCCGCAGCCTCGAGCTTATCCCCCATCTGGCGGAACCCAGTTTCAACACCAGCACCAGCATCAGCAGCATCAGCCACCGGTCCAAACCCAGTCGCAGCCACTGTCGCATCCTCCTCAGCAGCAACATCCGCTGTCTCACCACCAACACCAGCCACAGCATCAGCACCAACAGCATCAGCAGCACCCGCACCAGCATCATCCGCCTCCAGGCCTCCCGGCCCACTCTCATCATCAGCAGCAGCAGCAGCGACACCCTGTCCAGCAAAACCCTACACCAGGGCCACAAGAGTCATCCTCGTTCATTGATCGAGCAAACAAGGCAATCGATGACTTCGAAGCTGTTCTCATGGAAGATTACGAGGACAAGAACTACATCCGGGAAGTTCTGCGGAGTGCGCGCGCACGTGTGTTGGGCGATGCGCCAGAAAGCTCCTTCCCAGGTGGCGAACCAAAAGACGAAGCCGTCATCATGGACGTGCTACGGAATTTGGTCGGAAGTCTGAAAGACGAGTGAATGGCCTGGTTTTATATATTGGTGGAGGGAATGGTTTCCTCCCTGACGACTTATCGAGTATACGAGTCTTATGGTTTTGCTTTTTTCCCCTCTTTCTTACCAGTTCAATTTATCTGTGTCAAATTTTTGTTTTGCGACATGTCTGGATTCTTTGAATCTTAATGATATCCCTCTGTTTTTGTGACAGGCGTCTCTGCTTGCGCCTTGTCTATTTTTTTTTTGTCGTCGATATCTTCACTGTTCTTTGGGCTCTTCATAGCTCACTATTTTGGTGTTGTGCAAAGGAATCTCCCAGGAATCCTGATTTGCTTTTTTTTTTTTCTGTTTGTTTTGATCCTGGGGTCATCCGGTCGCCTGATATAAAAGCGTAAAAGCTCTGCATGATAGAAATACCATTCATATTGACCGGACTTAATACTCATTTCACAGCACTGGCATGGATATAGTATTTATCAATATTGTTGCTGGTACTTGCCTATCAAGTTACTAGATCGATTACTCCATTCTTCACATGTTGGTATACAGTATCTCTGTACAACCAAGCCTGAAACTTTTACATCGCAAGGAATGAAGACGAAGATTACACATATAAAATCACAAATATGGGATAGAGAGTCAAAGAGAGGGGGAACTACTACTGATATAGGGCCTAGATGGTTTTGGGAGACTCGAGTTCATCTCCCCGAACCCACCCGATAGAGGATAGGGCTATCGTATTCATGTGCATGGCTTTTTTTCAACGTGTTGAACTCACAGAGAGTTCAAAAGGAAGAGCAGAAACAGAGCATGACCAAGGGGATGATTATTTCTGCTTGAAGCTGGCTATGGCGAGCTCTCATCTGTGTCTATCAGCTGGTCTTGGACCATGGGACTTTTAATCCGCCCACAATTTTGATATGAGTGGTACCTTGAGCATCTTGTAGGCGCACTGCCATTTGGGGGGTCGTTCTGTCCGAGATGTCCCTGACGCGCCCAATTACCCAGCAAACGAATGTAAATTGTGTGTCATTCGTAGCAGGGACCATTGAATCTTGAGCTTGGACACATCAATGACGGGATCTGCTCCGTCGACACAGCCATCATCACCAGCGCGAATGAAATTGCCCAGGGCACTAGGCTATCGATTCAATCCCCGAAGCTTTATTTTGCTCATTCCTTCTTTGTCGCCCACCAGGCAATCCGTGGCGAGGACGCAACTGGATCCCGGTATCCCATACCGGGCCGTGTTCCCATCGTTGTCACCAATATAAATATAGCATGTGCTACAAACAAGCTTAGCTGGTATGGCGGGCCGCTCCTCTGATAGGAGGCAGGCACTGGCTTATTTCGATAACGTGTCCGGAATGGAAAACCTATCTTGATATTGCATGTGGTGATTCTGATTCCCGCAGCTGGTCTCTTTGTTCCTTGTGAGCCGCCCTTGATGTGGGTGCTTCTGGTAATGTTCCGTCGTCTTATAATTATAAAAGTATACCTCCGGTAGCCTATCCGGAGGCGTCGGTTTCTACCATAGTCTCACGTCCCTCTTTAAAATGTGCTAGGATCGGTGCGTTAATAAAGAGTTCTTTTAAGTCCGTAAAAGCTTTGTGATAAGTAGACTTCCGCAAAGCCCATTGGTGGGGGCCCATGAGGCCCCCATTGAAGCCTATTTCTATACAATATTACAATCTTGACGCTCATAAACCTATTGATTAATGCCTGTTTTTTACGCATGTTCTAGTCTGTAAGCTGACCTCGGAATACTTCGGCCCGATGGTCATGATCTAGCCTACCTAATACGGGAGTCCAACTTTTGATAGAGTATCAACATGCAGAGATATATATTTTAATATAGACAGAGGTAGGTGCATCTTTCTGTTGAAGTACTAGGAACCTCGGTGGCCTAAGGCCTCTAGATGATAGTTTAAGCTCACTTAATATCTTATCAATCAATCTATCTATCAATTCAGTCAACCAACTTAATCACCGTAAGAACTCATTCAAATTGGGGCTTAGACAGTAATTCAAATACTCAAAAATACTAGGAAAATCTACATTACTTATACCCGCCAAGAATTGGCATATTTATATAGTAGTTTGGAGCCCATTAGGTTCCCATCAAAGCCCAATGGGTTTCTACCCTAGGCCCATAGCCCACCGGTGGGCCTGAGGACCGGACCCAAAACCCGGCCCATTTGTGGGTTGGGGCCGGGTTGGGCTATGGGCTTTGCGGGCTCTGCGGAAGTCTAGTGATACGCCGTGTCCTAACGGAAGTCTATTCCCTTACGTGTTAGCCGTACTAATAGTGCTACTAAGTTCGTAAAGCGAGATAAAGGTCTGGTAGAAGTTCGTAAGTCCTAAAAAACTCCGCACGTCTCTGACAATTTTTAGTGGTTCCTATACGCGCATCGCCTCGACCTTCGCTAGGTCTACGCAGACACCCTCACCCGCACGGATAATAAATCCTAAGTATTTAACCGTTTCCCTTTAGAATTCCAACTTACCGATATCCCACTATCGACCTACCTTCCTTTCTAATCACTTTCCTAAATATGCCGCCAGCCATTGATCTTAATCCCTATAGAGATGAGATTATCTCTCTCTCAGGGGGGGGGGGGGGGGGGGTTGCCTCTTCTAAAGCTATATATGACTCACTTTAGAGCATATATAATATTACTGTCAATCCTCGTACGATCTATAGGCGTCTTAAGACGTGGGGGGCTATCTCACCGACCTCGGTCAAGGATAACACTCTCCATGATCAGCTTCGAACTCTAGTCTGCCAGTGAGATCCGACATAATCGTAGTGGGCGGGTTCCTACACGACATGGACATGGACTTGGAGTTTGGGTATATAGACATGCATATGGAAATTGTAATTTCGGCTGGGAACTAGTTCTAATCATTCTGCTAGATCATACCTAAGTATTGGAGGTTCCGGGTGAATAACACAGTAGCAAAAGGACAACATGAACAAGGACGACAGTAGGTCCTTGTCACAGATAGCACGCATAAAAGAGACAGTTGTAGATACAAGTCAGAATAGTCGTAAGGAGTGGAAATTTTGCTGGGAAAGAGAATGGAGACAAATAATAAACATGGGAAAAAAAAAAGTTAGATCATCAGTTATTGGGATAGGTAGTAGGTAAGTTTTGAAACTCAACAGAGTGAGATGACAGAGCTGGATCTCGCCAATGAAGAGTCTTAATTTCCCTCAAACCCCCCAGATTCAATTTCATTGTATCGTATCACATTGGTTTGGAAACAGGAGACTTTTCCCCGTCCAATTCATACTCGGCCCCTCTCATCATCCCTTCCACGGGACCGAGGAGTCGCTTGAATCCATCCCGGCCCAAGCGCGCCACCTTCACATCCGTCTTGGTGGTGATGCTCGCCTGGCGTGGCTTATCGTCCAGCAAAGCAAGCTCGCCGAAGTAATCACCCCGGCGATATCGCTTGACGGGCCCGGACACACCATTCTTGGTAGCCTCGGCTTCGCCCGACTCCAAAAGGTAGAAAGCATCTCCGGGATCGCCTTCGTGGATGATGGTGGAATTGGCCGGGTACTTGATGGTGTCCAAAGCATCGGCGATCTTTGAGCGCTCGTAGGACTTGAGAGAAGAAAGCAGCGGGACTTCCTCTAGGAAAGCCTCGTACATGCGACGGCGTTGGAATGCCGAGTCCATCAGGATGCGGCGGAAGGTGATGCGGTCGAGGGCCCACAAGGTGCTCTTTGGCTCGGTGGAGATCACTGTCGCCGCACGCGGGGCGTTATACATCAAAGCCAGCTCGCCGAAAGATCCTCCGGGTCCAGTGCTGGCGACCTTGTTGCCCAAACCATCCGGACCAGGCTGCACGGCGCCGGAGGGGTGGATATAGACATCAAAGTTTCCCTTCTCCACAATGTAGAAATAATCACCCGCGTCACCTTGAGAGATGACCTTGATATCCTTTGCAGGAATGGGTTTCTCAACGAGAGCGTTGAGAACAGTCAAGAATTGATCATCGTCGAGGTGAGAGAAGAGGAAGTTGCTACTGACGGCGCTCTTCAGCCGGGAGACCTGCTCTTCAGTCTTTGGGTGGTGAGGAGGTGACCAGCTCTCCGAGCCAGCTTCGGTGGGATTTAACGATTCCGCCGAGACCGATGTCCGACGGCCTAGCGCATAATTGTTAGGAAATCCTTGCTCTGCGGATCGTGCCGGGAGCGGGGCCAGCTCCCCCTCCTGTTCGCCCTCCTCGGTAGTATCCTGGAAGGGACTCCGGCTGAACAGCGATCTTCCCGTTTGTGCTTCTCCCTCAGCGAATGCAGGACCTCCAAATAAAGCGGTGCCCGGAGGCGAAGCACCCAAATTCGACTGTCGGAAAGTCAGGTCGGTTGGTGACGTCACCTCGAACTCGTCGGTAATTTTTTCGGCGCCAGCAGATTTGTCGCCAGCTCTGGTGTTTATGGCCGGGGTTAAACCCGGAGCAGAATTTTGTGCCATGAGGGCGTTGGGGGGAGGTGGAGGGCTAGAGAGGCCGCAACGTCCGGCGTTGAAGCTGAGTGGGATAGATAGCGAAACAAGAGATGATACCTGTAGATATTAGAAAGGAATAGCTTAAGTAGAGAAATTGGAGAGAAGGCTAAGAGAAGGTGACAAGGAAGAGTAGGGAAAGGAAGCGGAGGGGCAGACAGTGGGGGATTATTGGTTGGAGTCTAATTGTAGGGGAATACTGCATGACCTCTCTCTCTCTCTTTTTTTTTTTTTTTCTTTCTCGGAAATGCAAATGAAATATTTCCAAACAGCAAAAAAGATAAATTACCTTAACGAATGTCAAAACTTGTCAAAACTTGTCAAATTGACAGAAGTGAACTCGAGAAGAGGAAAATTGAGGGGTAGAAACACAAGTTGGTCTGAGCTTCGTCGATCATTCAAATTCCAGTGACCAGAGTGATCGACGTCACTTGAGAAAAAAAAGGATTTCTTCCAAGTGTCTTCTAGAACTATTCGCCACGGAAGTGGCGGGAACTCGGCTGTAACCTCCATATGTCATGGACTCGTGAATGTCACCGTACAAAACCAAACTTTAACAACTTCAGGTTTGCCATATTAAGTATATAAAAGTAGCCCTGACTTGCTAACCCTAAGCTCCGCGTATAGACAAGTCTAGAACGGGCGCATAGACCCGAAGTCCCCCCAGCCCCCTGTGATATAGATGCATATCTCTACAGAATTTATATAGCGCTAAGTCCTCCAGGGTCAGGTACTGGTGTCACCCCCACTGATTTAGCCCTTTTTTTTTTTCCTTCTTCCTCTCCCTCTATTTTCAAACTCCAAATCAAATATGGGAACTTTTACATTTCAATGGTAAGTCAATCTTCGGATCTCGGGTCTCAAGATCCTCGTACAATGCTAAGACGGTTACGTGCAGGCCTCACACTGCAAGCGAGGTGTTTGTTACAGGCACTTTCGATGATTGGGGTAAGACGGTGAAACTGGACCGGGTGGGCGACATCTTCACCAAGGAAGTCACTATTTCTCCTGTACAAAAAGTCCACTACAAGGTATGCCTTTGACCTTTTTTTTTCCTCCTCTCCTTTTGCCCTATTTTTTTTTCCCCTGTAGATTGGATGGCGGTGAGCCTTAGGCAACAGGCCATTTACCACTGACGTCATGTCATCTGTGCCGCTCTCTTTATATAAAGACACTTCCCGGAACCCCCCTCAGATTCCATGATTATGTGTTTCTCTTGCTGACAGAAAAAAAAAATAAGTTTGTTGTCGACGGTATTTGGACTACAAATCCCGACGCACGCGAAGAAGAAGACGGACATAACAACGTCAACAACGTGCTGTTACCAGAAGAGATCAATACCGACTCCGCCCCCACTATGTCTGGCGTGACCCCTGATTCTACAACTGCGGCTCTTGCTGCTAACGTTCCCAAGGAGCCCAATGGGAATCTGCCTGGCGCCTTCCCAGAGACTCCGGGACTGGAATCCGAACAGACCTTGTCCGTGGATCCCATCCCAGCGTCGGAGGGTTATGGCAACCCCGTCAGCCTGAACCCGGGCGAGAAAGTCCCTCACCACAGCACCCTCCACAACAACACCGTTGACTCGACGGTCACTTTGGACAAAGAGTCATATGAGAAGGGCCAAACTCTCCCCATTGATGGGATCAAGAACACCGCTGATACGGGTGCTTCTCCATATACCCTCCCCCCAATCACAAACAACATGATTCCTGAATCCAGTCTTCCGATCGGTGGTCCCGCGCAACGTGCCGCTAGTGAGGCCGAGCCGATTTATACCGGAGGCCCGGTGCTGCAGGCAGCGTTGGCCGATCCAGGATACAATATCCAGTCCGCTGGCCCCGACTCGACCACGGCTGCGTTGGCTGCTGCCGTGCCACTGGAGCCCAAGGGCAAGGAGACCAACGGTGACAAGCCCGTCGACGAGGTCCCGCAGGTGGTGAAGGACTCGTTGACCGAGGCTCACAAAGACCCGGAGGCTGCCGCGTACCAGGAATCAGTCGACGAGAAGAAGGCTATCGAGGAGGAACTGCACAAGAAAGTTCAGGTTGATGAGTCCGCGGGTACTCCGGCGCCTACCGTCACTGCGGCTACCCAGGCTGTCGCGCCCCACCTCACTGTTGCTAGTGGGATAGATTCGGCAGATGTGTCGCCGCTTTCGACTCCCGCGCCCGGCCGCACTTTTGCTGCTGCTGCCCCAACTTCGGCGCCCAAGACCGAGTCCAGTGGGCCGACTGTCACGACTGGCCCTGAGACTACATCTACTGCTGAAACCTCGACCCCCAAGGCTGAATCTGCAGGTCCCACTGTCACGACTGGGGTTGAGTCTGCTCCGGCACCTGCTACTTCGACCGCAGAGCCCGCCGGTCCCGCCGTGACGACTGGGGTTGAGTCTTCTCAGGCGCCTGCTACTTCGACCGCAAAGCCCGCAGAACAGCCCCGCAATCAGTCCCACAGCACTGAAGGTGCTTCTTCTAATGGCGACAAGAAGAAGAAGCGCCGCATGAGCAGCTTTTTCAGCAAGCTCAAGGAGAAGCTTAAGTAAACTTGGAAATATCAAATTTCCTGGAATATGCTTGATTCCAGTAATTCTGGGTGGCATAGTCTTGGCTGTCAGAGCCGACCGATATCCCATGCTTTTTCTCTGATGCCCTGCGTTCTTTGTTTCTGGATACCTCTCCTGCCCTGATTCACTGCATTGTATTCCTGCAAGCCGCTTTTTTTTTTTTTTTTTGTTTATGCTTCGGCTAGTAATTAATCGTCTAATGAAACTACCTTGCTTTATGTATATGTTATGTCCCGAGCCGAAGTCGGAGCCGAAGCCGTAAAATGCAGTACAGAACTCGGAGTATAAGCATGTTCAACACAAAACATGAGATCAAAAGATCAAAGACTCAATGTAAGACTAAAGAATGTAAGAATGTAAGAATCCAAGACATCTATAAGCCTGGTGGGGAGCCCTGGAGAAAGTCATTTCCTAATTCCGCTCTTTCTCCACTTCAACCTTTCCCCGACTTTGGGGGACCTTCTTTTCCCTTTTCCTCCCTTCTCTTGTACTGATTCTGGGGTCTCTTCGCTGCAAATATGGCTACCCCCACATTGTCCGGTATGATCGACCCGACAAAGCAAGCCGAATACCCAATCGTGCTGGGGGAAAGGCTCTCTCGAAACCCAAACACGAGCCGACTGATCAACGTCAACTACAACCACAAATCCAAGTCCGCCACCTCTCAACAACGTTCGGTCATCACACACTCCCGATCCTCGGACCTCTATGACCTCGCCGTTACCGATAAGGCCCCAAACGCCGATCAAACATTGACCTATTCATACAAAGGCAGCGAGGACCCATCAAGTGAGCGAAACCTGGTTCTGATCTTCGACCCGGAGCGGAAAGTTTTTGTTCTGGAGCCGGTCTCGACAACCTTAAACTTTAATCTACGGTCGGCTCCAGGAAAGACGGAAAAACAGGTCCGCGAGCAATACGAACAACTACAGATCAAGGAAGAGGATGAACCAGCCTCGGGAGAAGACCGACACGGAGGGAGCACTAGCGAGGACGAGGGCCCGGCCGATGAGAGCAATCCTTACGACTTCCGGCATTTCCTTCCGAAGAATCGCCGGGAGGCTGACAAGCCAACCTCAGGCCACACCACCCCGGAACTCGCCACCAGCAGGGCCAACACACCATTGATACCGGCTACCAGACCCGCGCCCGGACCTGCACCTAGATCTGCACCTCGACCCACAACACAAGCAAACCCGCTGCGACAGAAGAAACCGCCAGCAAAAGCTCCAGTCAAAGCCCACCCGCCCGCGAAGCCAAGCGAGCCTGTCAGCTATCCCGACCAGCCAGAGCATGAGGACTCTCGCTCGTCGCCGTCCGATGCAGGCACGGGATCACAACAGACTGGGCAATCTCCCAGTTCGAACATCATTGTTGATGGAGATCTCATTATTGATATGGGATCTCCGCCTCCATCGCGCCCATTTGTCGTGAACCGGGCTTACTTCTCGTCCAATAACACCCCGGCCGATGACGATGGGGATGAAGACATTGGGGAGTTTAGTTTACCCTCCCCGGTCGGTAATACAGCTCCACCTACCTCCTCGGCACATACAGGCACGGCTGCCCAAGAGGACGAAATGGAAGATGATGATGCCTTGGCGGCGGAGATGGAAGCTGCCTTTGAACAAAGTGCGCGTGAAGAGGAAGCTCGGAGCCACCATTACACCCAAACCACGACCAGACAATACGTTCCCAGTGATGATGAGAGCGAAGTTAGTGAGGAGGAGTAAATGCCTGTTTGACCTTTTTGTCTATTGCATCTATCAGCGTGGCGCCAGGACGGACTTTGATTCCAAAGTACTAGATACTAATTGTAATTGTTTATAGGGACTATTCCAAGTGTAATTGCATATTAATGAGCAATGGAAGTTACATGTGAGCCTTTCGAGCTTGTATTTCTTCCCCCAAAAGATCTAAATATTATAACATAATGCTGCTCATTGTACTCCATAACACGCATCTCTTACAATGCGGATAAATACTTCCGCTCGGAAAAGCCATTGTTCCGATTAAAAGCTTCCCTTGTCGGCTTGCGTCAAGAACGGAGATCATAACCGCCTTGCAGGTTATCTGATATTGCTCGATATTTAGGCAGCGCTCTGTTGTTTATATATTGCTTATCCCTGACTTCCTTCTCTCCAATTCTCCGAACATCTCCCGTGCACTACCATCTCCGCGATGCGATAGAAAGCTCCGCTATGCTAGATTGGGCTTGACGACTGTGACGTTTGGAACGATAACGATTACTGTTAATCTTGCGCGACCTATTCCTCATCAGGCGCGCCGCATGCGCTTCAACCCTGTCGCCATTCTTTGAACCTGTCGAACTTATTCGGTCTTTCCCCTCTTCACTTCGCACACCCATGGCTTCCTCAGCACCGCCGAAGCGACGAATCCCCGGCCTACCGAATCCGGTGTTGGAAGCAGAGCAGCAAAAATGGCTATTCACCGAGGAAGAATTCGAGCGCACGCCATCGCGCATTGATAAGATCGAACGCGGGAAAGAGGACTACATCCGGCACCGTGCAGTCGAGTTCATCTGGCAAGTGAGCGTGATGTTGAAGATGCCCCCGCAGACCTCAATGACCGCCACGGTGTACATGCACCGCTTCCTCATGCGCTATTCGTTGATGGGCCAATATCCAGAGATGGGGTCGGACCTGATGCACCCCAAGGTGATCGCAGCGGTGGCCCTGTTCGTCGCGTTCAAGGTGGACGAGGCCATGCGCCGCATGAAAGACTTCGTCATCGCATGCTGCCGCGTCGCCATGAAGCAGCCGAACCTGATTGTCGATGAGCAGTCCAAGGATTACTGGAAATGGCGAGACCTGATCCTGCAGAACGAGAGCGTCATGCTTGAATACCTCTGCTTTGACCTACAGGTCGAGTCCCCCTACCGCATCCTCTGGGACTACTCCGTCTTCCTAGGCGTCGGCGACAACAGAGCTCTACGACACTCCACCTATTCCTTCCTCAACGACTCAACCTACACAGTCCTCTGCCTCCAATTCCCACCCCGTGTCATCGCCGCTGCGGCCCTATACGCCGCAGCCCGCCACTGCAAAGTCGCCTTCCCCGACGACGCCGAAGGCCGACCCTGGTGGGAGCAGATCGACGTCCGCCTCGACGACCTCATCCGCGCCTGCACCTTCATCGTCAAGATCTATGAGCGCGTCCAGCAAAGTCTCAGCAAGGGCTACCCTGAATTCGCAATTACAGACTCAACCTCCCACCCCAACGACCCAACCCGCATCTTCGACACCGATCCCACAAAATCAGCCTCAGAACAACAATCTACATCCACCCCTCCAACCCTCACCGTCACCTCAGACACGGCACCAAATGGCCGCAAACGCTCACGCGAACCCGAACCTCACCCCAGCGCACAACACCCATCCTCCCCACAACACAAATCCCCTTCAGCAACCCTCAACGGGAACGGCGACCATGAACGATCACCAAAACGCCAGCGCACCATAACCCCCTCCCACGAAGCAACCCCTGACCAAAAATCAAACCCTCTAGCTCACTCCCGCCCACGCATCCCCACCGCCGCATTATCCCAAACAAAAGCCACGCCGCAGTTCAACTCCCTATCAATCGCGGAGAAGTCGGGTCCTGGATCCAACACACAACCTACAAAAGAAGAGTCCGCCGAAGAAGGCGAACTCCATGAAAAACAGCAACACGTCGTTCCAGTTGCGCATCCCCCGAATCCTGTTCATCCATCTACGGATGTGGATTATCGGAGTAAATTAGACTCCCAGAGAGAAGAAGGCGAGGCTGATGATGATGGTGCTGGAAGTGAAGAAGGCGAGATCTAGCTGAGATCCGTATTGGGTTTATTAGGTCGCTGTTGTGGAAGTTCGGCCTTGGGGAATTAAGAGAGATACTATTTATGAGTGAGAATGAAATTCACAGAGAATAAAATTTCTCTTTTTTTGCTTATTTGCCAACTTCATTGTACTTTCGTCCCGTGTACTGATTTGTCGAGGCTGTAGACGAAGAACTTTATGAATAGTCCCAATGTCAAAAATGTAAGATTCAAACCCAGTCTTCCAGGTCCATATCTAGGAGATGTGTATATTTGCATACTTCCAAGGTTTACACCAAATAACTGAGAACTCCTAGATATGCGATGCGAAGTACCACTTTGTGTTCAGATAATACAGTTTTGTATTTCTTTAGAACAAGACAGACAACTGGATAGAAAACCGATCCCAGCCAACACGGAGAATACATGCAATGTAATGTACGAGTAGGATAGCCTGACACCAACACGCCTTGATGCAAATATGTGCATTATGTTCGTTCTCTGATTCATCTTCATCCTTATCTTCTCAATCCCATTCAAATCCCCACACCTCATTCAATATCCAGCTGTCATAACCCCCAACCCATGATCCAGCAAGCTGCTCGAAGCAACATAACTAAATCCACCGAACGGATTGCTCCCAACACCATGCTCGTCTCCATCTGCACCCTTTCCAGCCGGGAAATCCTGTCCCTTTCCATAGTACTCGTCAAAGCCTGCGGCAGTAACCGTCGGACTGAGCGGGAGATGAGTGAAATCGGCAGAGAAGTTCTCCGCGAGAGCGGGGTCCGTGACGACAGGCTGGATAGGGGGGTCGAGTTCGCGGCGCTCAAGGGCAGCCCAGTCGATTTTGCGGAAGAAGCGATGTTTCTTGATGATCTGCAAGTCCTTCTGCATGTGGTAGCCGAGACGTTTGGAGGGTTCTTTGCGGAGGAGACGGGTGAGGAGGTCTTTTGCGTCTGGTCCGAGGAAGTAGGGGAGCATGAGTTTTTGCTTGACGATCTTCTCTTGGAGCTTGGCGTGGTTGTTTGCGCGGAATGGGGGTGAGCCGGTGAGGAGGTCGTAGCCCAGTGCGCCGAGGGACCACCAGTCGCATGCTTTGCCGTATGGTTTGCCTTGGATTACTTCTGGTGCCATGTACTCGATTGTGCCGAGGAGGGAGTTGCAGCGCTCGTCGTCGCTGAGGGCGATCTTGCTGAGGCCGAAGTCGGTTAGGAGGAGGTGGCCTTGTGCATCTAGGAGGCAGTTCTCAGGTTTCAGGTCGCGGTAGAGAACGCCGACGTTTTGGTGAAGGTGAGCTAGTGCAAGTACCATCTCTGCCATGTAGAAGGCTGCTGCGTCTTCTTCGAACATCCGTTCCATGGCTAGGTGGGTGAAGAGTTCGCCGCCTTGCGCGTACTCCAGGATCAAGTAGAGTTTCTCATGGTCTTGGAAGGCATAGAATAGCTTGACGACAAAGGGGTGGCGATTGACACTTTCCAGGATTGTGCGCTCTGTCTTGGTCTGCTCGACTAGCTTTTTGTGGACAGTGAGGGTAGCCTTCCGGAATTGTTTCTGGGCGTAGAGCTTGCCCGTGACGACGTGGCGCACCAGCAACACAGTTCCAAATGAGCCCTTTCCCAAACAGAGGATAGGCACAAAGTCCTCCGCTGTCATCTTGCGGCACAGTTGACTGCGCAATTCCGAATTCATGCCTGGGACATCCGCGTTGCGATCGTCCAGTGTCTCTGGCTGCACTGCGTCGGAACTAACAAAGTCCTGATCCAGGGGGATTTCATAGCTGGTCAAGATCTCGGTCTGGTCGCTATCGGAGTAAACACTCGGGGTCCGGGAGACAAGTCCGCTGGAACCATTTGTGTCGGACAAATTTAGGGTGTTGAGTTGAAGCTTCAATGCGCTGACCCCATGACCTGCGGGAGTCTGTACCATTGGGCTTGCGCTACCCAGGGCAGTGGGAGGTCGAGAGGGTGCGCGGGAGCTCGCAGCGGAGAAGTCCGATTCCTCGTCGCCGGACGCCAGAGGAGTGAAACCGTGAACAGTTGCGCACGACGACACGAATTCGTGCTTCTTCTTCTTCTTCCGGCGCTGCTTCGGCAGCATGTTCTCGCTGAGTGTCTGGTTTGTAAACCCATTGAATTCCTTGGTTGTCTGCTCTGGGGGTGACATGGTGCCCATGTGTGCATTGGGGCGACGGTGATTGGTCGGGATGTCAACGACGCTGTCGGCCTGCGGCGCGAACACATCGCCGACCGACAGATCGTCGGCATTCGAGGAAGGCATTATACCTTCGTTGTATCACCTGTGATAGTTCCGCGACTGAAGCGAAACACCCCGATGGATTTAGGTGAAAGTGCCGGCGATAACCGCAGTGTCGACGGTTGACCTTGCGCGGTCGTAAAGAATGGTAGCAAGGTATTCGGAATACCTATCTAACAATCGCTGTTCACATAGAGACAGCTGGTTAGCCTTAATCCCCTGGGCCTTGGATATGGACTATAAAGAATGGAGGGGTAGGTGAGGGTTTTCACGCCCCCACTAATTAAGCCAAGGTAAAAAACGTAAAAGAAATTGAAAAAAATAAAACAAAAATGGCGAATAAAACGCTGATCAAAGGGACGTACTTCAACTTGAGGAATCTATTGCATCAATAGACGGTGTTCCTTCAGTGCCCGAACTAGTCGATTAAACCAGCCTTGAATCTTTCGAGCAGATTTACCGTCCGCCCTTCTTCAGGACGGACCCGGGACCCCTAGCCAAGTCACCTCGCGAGACGAGAAGTCGAGGGCCAAGGCGAAGGGAGACAGGGAGTGTGTCGACACGTTGGAAATATTAGGAGCAGGCGAGTCGAGATTCAGAAGGGATGGATCAAGGTTGGCTGGGGAGCCAGTAAAAATCAAAGCAAGCGATGACGAAGGCACAAATAGGCACATAGAGGATGAAGATTTTAGCAAATAGAGATTATCAGTTCTTCCCCAGGAAGTGAAACAAAGAAAAGAGAGTCTGCAGAAAATCGGATTTCAGGCGCAGATCCGGGGGCTGAGGTACTAGTCCCGATTTGGGTTTCACGTGTCAGATGCTGACATTAATATCTCATTGATCCTATTGAGCGGATTTACTAGAATATAGGGACCTGTGAAATCGACCAAAATGACCTCTGGTGCCAGAAGCGAGCGCCTTTTCACCCGTAATTTTGGACGGCGAGCCGCCGCTTGGCCCGCGCCCTATACCGCACCCTAGTTATACCGGCGTCAGGTTAACGCCAGTGCAGATTAATATCGCTATAATTGGTCTGGCTTTTAACACGTCCGTAACCCTAATTCAGAAACTTTCATTACCTCATTCGAAATTGATTAAAAACGCGCCACAGATCTAAAGATCGATGACCAAGAAGACCCTCCCGATTTTCCTACTAGCAGAATCCCGGTTATAACCCGTTCGTAGTGGTCTTGATTTAGGTACTGAGTATAGATGACATCATCAAAACACCTTCAGGATTAAGCCGGACAATATCTCTCTAGGATGACCATTTATCTATCCGTGACTCAACAATCATCCTAGCTAGCTCGTACTAAGGTGAAAAGACACCCCATTTCTCACTGAAAATGTCATGTATCTATCAAAGCGAGGGCGTTGTGTCGGAGGAAGGTGCAAATCCGTTTCTCGAGCACCTTCCCCCTGATACGCCCGTCTATCGTTACGGCCGACAGTGCAGTATTGAGAGCCTCCTTCCTCCGTATCCGGTCGAGGATCGCTTCATCGTCTTAAAACATTTCCCGCCGGATATATTCGCCAAATACGAGGAAGAATTACCACAACGCTGTGATTATTCGCCACCACTCCAGATCCTTATCATCGAAATATCTAGTCTACCGCACGAGGAGGCGGCTGTCAGTCTCGAGGCAATGATTATGTTACTTGCTGAGAAGATGCAAGTCTTTCGACGAACTGCAGGCTGTGGAGCTACTCGAATCGATACTCCTGGCCGGAGCAAGCAGGCAGACCGGTCATGGAAGCCAGCCCGCCAAGGGAGGGAATTTCCAACGGTAGCCTTAGAAGTCGGCTTTTCAGAGATAACTGCAAAATTAGAAAAAGGATATCGCTTGGTGGATCAACGAATCGAAAGGCGAAGTGAGAATGGGGGCCACGATTGACATCAAAAGAAGATCCGGCTGCATTGAAATCAAATCCTGGACCCCAGCATTCGAGTCATCACTGCACCGTGACTATATCTCAGTAAGCGGCTGCCACATCGTCAAAAGACACGCCAATAATCTCCCACCACCTCAAACCCAAGGTTTTCAATTGATCGTGATGCTGGCTGGCGATTACGATGGCCTTTACGATACCTACATCTTCATGAATTTCGTTGCCGGCGAAACACTCCACACAGCTTGGGACACTTTCACACCAGGTTCTCAGCTAAGCCCAAAATGACATAGTTACAGTTTGTATGGCATAGTGGACTTGTCTGAGACCAATCAATTGCTGCAGTAAGTTACCGCTCTAATGTGTTACGGACATGCCAGTCACTAATCAGGCATGCGCCGCCACTACACAAATGGGCCATAGAGAGCTGTGGTCCCCTAAGGCTTTAGGGACCTGGTATATATATCGCTACAGACAGATCTGGTCATGCCCAGATCTGGCTATGACCTTTTTGGCCTAGTGGTTAGAACCCTTCCGGAATTACAAAGACCGATGTTTCATATCACGTGACCCGATCTTAGAAGGCGCTCCCGGGGTCATGCAGATGACCGTTTAAGTATTGCTCTGTTGTTCTGCTGAGGCCTGAGTTATGAAAGCCGTAAGGGCAGGGTCTAAGAGCCTCTAGTATGGATGGGCGCTAAACCCAAAAAGGCAAAACTAACCCGATACAGTAAATCACAGGTCCGCCGTTTACATTTGATATTCACATTTTATATATGATATTGTCTATATTATGGTCTTTTTTTGGTATATTCCAATCGGTTCTACAGCCTCACACAGCCTCAATACTATACCAACTTGCAGATGGGCGTCAATCTGCATACTGCAGCCTCCTGTATAACATGTAACTCCTTGCGGCTCTTAGCGACTCTCAAAGAAAGCCTTGGAGCGAGTAATCTCCACACCAGAGCGTTGGACAAAAGCGAGAGCACTTGGCTTCTCCACCTTGACCGTCACACTCTCATTTCCAAAGTCCACAGTCACAATGCGAGCGATGAAAGTAGCCAAAGATTCCACAGACTTGAAATCAGTCTGATCAACCTTCTGTAATATCAAACCAAGTCAGCAAGTCCCCAAAAACGGTATACCAACAAAATCATCAAAGAAAGGATAAACACATACCTCAGCCACAGCCCGCGTCACAGCCTGATAAGTATCAACAACAGTAGACCCCCAAGCAAGCTGCCCAGGACCCTGGAACGTAAGACCAACGACAACAGCCTGTTTCTCAAGTCTCTCATGAGGATTCACCCCCAAAATAGCATAACATCTAATCCCCTCAATCCGGAATTCCTCCTCCAAAACTACCAAACCCCTCGCCTCCCCAGCAGCCACCTCCTCCCCAAGCGCAATAACCCCCCGATACCTCAGCCCCTCATCGGCACGCAACAAAGCCTTAGGCAAATGCAGCAGAACCTCACACTCGCCATACGCCGCCGAGATGGGATTCGGCTGCTTCGCCGCAGTGATGGCAGACGTAGTCTCCAATAGACCCAATCCGGCATCCGCAACAACACCCGCTATCACGCGCGGGTCCTGGCCCAGTCCGCGACTCTGCATTTCCTCGCGACGCGTCCCGGATAGACTGATTAGTCTGTTGGATGGGTGGGATGGTGAGGAGATGTTGTCGGCCATGTTGCGGACGTCGGATTCTAGTCGGCGGAAGAGTTTGCCATAGTCGAGGGTCAGGGAGACATTGTCAGTTTCGGCGGCTGTAATTATGGAGGAGTAGGAGAGTTTCAGGGTTGCGGTGCATGGTTGAGACTTTCCCTGGCGGTGCCAGGCTTCTGGGGCGCAGGGGAGGGGGAGCTCGATGTCGCGGAGACGGACGCTGTCGAGGACATCGGGGCGGGGTGGGAGTTGAATTGATTGGGAAGTCATGATGTATTTTTGTTGTTAAGGAGTAGGGTTGGCTAATGCGACAATATTGAAGTAAAGAGAGGTGAGGTTTTTTTGGCGGGGCACCCGTGGACGGTGGTAGATCATGACGGTAGAACCCACACGGCCATTTCCGTTCTATATTTGTAGATGACTAAAGAGAGAAGACGGTGGTCTCTTGTGGGATATTGTAATTCTTTCAACAGGTGTTAGAATTGGAGTTTACCAGAGATGATCACACTCCCAATATATATATCTTGGTTCAGCATATTGAATCGCAGAAATAAACCCATGTTTTGCATTATTTTAATACAAGTATCTATTCCAAAGTGAGTCATTCCAGGCATCATAGACTAACAGGACCTCGGGGATGTTACAGAAGAAACAAATCAAATAAAAGGATTAAGATTTTCAGATGCTAACACAAACACAATAGTCCAGGATGGACAAGATAACCATAAGGCAATAGCCGTTTAGCCTCCAGCCATCCCAAAGCTACCAGGGAAGAAAGAAATGATTGAAAGCTCGCGCTGTCCAGTCGCCAGGAAGAAAGAAAAGCACCCGGCCGCGAGAACACGCTGGACGAAACCTCGGCAGGTGAAAAAAGATCATGACACCATGAAATCAGTACGAGACGTTGCGGGTATTTGGCGAAGATCAAAAAATGATGGTAGAACGGAAGAATATGCAGGAAATCCAATCAAGACCCGGCACCATCTACCAATAGCGAGGACGGTCGTAAGGCACATACTCGCCTCTCGGCGGAGAGCGAGGACGACCATAACCGCGAGCAGCTAGGTAGGGATCATCATAGTGACGAGGAGGTGGGGGGAGGCCGGGCCTCGTAAGGGTCTTCATAGGGACGACGTGGCGGGTAGTCTTCCATCCGAGGGCGAGGGGGAGTCCGGCGGGCATAGCCATCCCGTTCATAGTAGGGATCGCGGCGGATAGGAATCGGCGACCGCTCACGGTAGTGCTCCCGAGGACTGTAGCCACGTGGGGGAGGGATCCGGCGGTCATACTCCTCGATGGTGGCAGGGTAGGGGCGACGAGGTGGGGAACGAGACCGGTATGGGTCACGAACGGGGCGTTCCTCAAAGTTCTGAATCTGGGATTTGGTGAGAGGGTGCTCCTCCAGTTCGGGGCCAGGATGGGCGCTTACATCGGCGACACATGATACAACGGAGCCCTTGAACTCTCGCTGGTCCAGTTTCTCCACGGCTGTCTTCAGGTCATTGGCGGTTTCAAATTCCACAAACCTTAATTAAATGTTAATTGGAAGGGTCTTTCGTGGAATACAATGGTCCACCTACCCTCTGCCCTGTTCTCGGCCAGTCTCAGAGTACACCACGTCCAGTCCAGACTGGCGGGCGAAGTCTTTCAGGTCCTATTTAATGCATGGTGAGTCCAGGTCCAGGAAAGGTAAGGTGTCCGGCAAATGTGGAGAGAAAAGGTAAGCACTCCATGTCCAGTCCGAGGAGGTGTATCCAGAATGGCCATCTTATATCGGCATCCAAAAGTCCCAGGAAAGGTTCCATGGGGTCTGACAAAACAAGGTGTGGTGAGTATGCAAGGATTAAGGAGCAATTATCAAATCTCAAGGTAAAACAAAAAAGCCATAGAAGCATTTTTTAGTTACCAGGAGAGGAGTGTTAATGGATTAGTACTCCAGGATCCTTGGCTCAACCGATGGCCCTGAGAATAATGGACTGGAAGCATGTGTGGGCTGAGTAGAGAGGCGGGTTTGAGGAATCTACATCAGGAACTCCGGGGAGGAATGGATTTGGGCTGCTAACCTGCCAACTTGTTTCTGGAAGACCGGAAATCTGCATGCGGAACATAGTGCGACGTGGACGAGGGAGAGCGTTGCGGTCTGGTGGTCCCGGGAAAGCCTCCTTGCGGCGCGGGCCGCGCGCGAACTGAACGGTGAGTCGCTCGCCTTTAAAGTCACTGCCGTCTGTGGTATTGATAAGCGGGAGGTAATCGATGGAGAGGTCATGGGGTCATACGGAATGCTGCAGGAAAATAACGTTAGCAGGTCTGCACGCAAATGAATGGAATAAGAGGGCGAAACTGTTCTTACCAGGCACAATATCTCTGGCATCCAGCTGGTCATCATATTCGATGAAGCCGAACCCGTTCATCAACTTGATCTCCGTGATCTTACCGGAGCCATGGCTGCTGAAATGTTCCTCGATGTCGCTTTTGGTCACTGTAATAAATAAGATGAAGTAGGTTAGTGCATCACTTCTCAAAAGGTGGTTCCAAAAAGCACCGGTTAGATGACTATCCGAAGCGGAAGCTGTTCTGGGTAGCTGAAGCTCCCCATTTGCTCACCCTGGGAAGGGTGGGCCGATGCGGGCTTTCCGGGCAACAACACGAGCGATCAGAGTACATGAGTCTCTGAGCGACCAGTGAAGCGAAGCGACCGGGTCATGCATGGTGGTGCGTGTGTTCTCCAAAAGGTAGGGAAGAGCGATCAGGTGCCATACCGTTGCGGGGAAGGTTCCCAAGATAAAGGCGGGTTGAGGAAACCTCGGTCATGGCTGGTCTGAAATAGGTGATTGATGGACAATGATAGATAAAAGATCTGGCGAAAGGAAGTCTTAGGAAATATGGAAGAGATCGAAAAGGCGGGAATGCAGAGAGATGTTATTAACTGCGTGCTGCAGGAAAGCGCGTAACGTGTAACCCGACAAACGATCCAGTCAGGGGGCTGATGTACTGCACTTTCGAATGAAATAGCTAAACAGCCAAACGAGAAAAGATACAGAAAGTGAGAGGGGGAAGAAAAGAGAGAAAGTACCTGGCGGTGGACTAGCAACTTTGGCCGCCTCACTTTTGATCCACGTGGGTCCACCTAAAGAGAGGGGATGATATTTAGGTAATATAAAACATCTATTTTAGTATTTACATCTATTTACATCTATTTACATTTATAAAATATTCAAAGATACACGTACATGTATACTATGTAGATTTGAAGTATGTAGATATAAAATCTACAGAAGCAAGGCTTATCCCTCGTGGAACTCTCCACTGTCATTCCACGGTTCTGCCAACCCCATGGGGTCTTTTTTTAGTTGACCTATTTTGGGCAATTTGTGTATATATACATTCCCATGTTTCCATTATATCCATTACTTCTAGATCAAGTCATGATGTACTTGGGTCCCTCTCCACCTTGAGGTGTCTGCCAGTTAATGTCTTGTGTGGGAACCTTGATATCACAAGTCTTGCAGTGAATACAGCTAGTAAATAGGTTAGTATATATATCATGACTCAGATGGAGGCACTTACTTTTGTGAGTTGATCTGGAATCGAACCCCGTGCTCTTTGCTAGGGTCCTCCACATATTCGTAGACGCCTGCAGGACAGAACCGGTTTTCAATACCCTTGTAAGCAGGCCATGCGAGGTCCGTGTGCTTATCCAAGTCCTTCACCTGCAGGTGAACCGGTTGGTCTTCCTCGTGGTTGGTGCCGGTCCGGCTGACACTGGTCAAGATATCGAAGCTGAGCTCTCCGTCTGGCTTGGGGTAAACAATCTTTTCGTATTGAGAAGCAAGCTTGGTAGCCGCTGAGTCCGTGCTGTGGTGGCTGAGCGTCCATGGCACTCGGCCCTTGAATAGGTAGGCCTCGATACCGGAGTAAAGAAGTCCACCGAAAAAGCCCAGCGGGGTGTTGAATGAGGGCCGGATGTTACGAACCTCAGAGAGCTCCTTCCAAATGGATGAATCCCGCAGAGATTTCTCGTAATCAAACAAGAAGACGGTTCCTTGATCGTCACCCTTAAGCGCCGAGAAGGTAGCCTCGGCGGCTAACATTCCTGATTTCATTGCGGTGTGGGTACCCTTGATTTTCGGAACGTTTAAAAAGCCAGCCGTGTCACCAATCAAGGCACCTCCGGGGAATGCGCACTTGGGGATCGACTGGAAACCACCCTCATTCAGTGCTCGGGCCCCGTAAGAGATACACTTTCCACCCTCGAGAACCTCCTTGAACATGGGGTGGTGTTTCATTTTTTGGAATTCTCCGTAGGGCGAAAGCCATGGGTTCGGGTAGTCCAATCCTACAACCAGACCGATACTCACCATGTTGTCTCCAAAGTGGTACATCCAGGCTCCACCATAGGTATCCCTGGGAAGAGGGTATCCCATCGAGTGAGTGATCTCGCCTGATCGGAACTTCTCGGGCTGAATCTCCCAGACTTCCTTAATTCCAAGACCGTATGTCTGGGGCTGGCTGTCTCGTCGAAGATCATATTTCTTCATCACCTGCTTGGTCAAGCTGCCGTGGCAGCCCTCAGCAAGAAGGGTGATGCGGGCATGGAACTCCATTCCTCTCTCAAATGTCTCCTTGGGCTTGCCATCCCGAGCGATTCCAAGGTCGTTGGTCGCAACACCCTTAACTGAGCCATCGGGGGCATAAACCATCTCGCTGGCTGCGAACCCAGGGTACACCTCCACACCAATCTCTTCCGCGCGCTCTCCCAGCCACTTGGTCAGCTCATTCAGACTGACAATGTAGTTCCCCTCGTTGTGCATCTGTGGGGGGTGGGGAGCGGGTATGAGCCATTCTTTGTCAGGAACCGCATCTTATCACCCTTGGCGGGGGTCGCGCCCTCAAAGCGCGAGGGGTTGTCCTCGGACAGCCAGTCGGGGAGCAGCTCATTGAGGGCGGTTGGTTGCAAAACGTTTCCGGAGACAATATGGGCACCCAATTCACCAGCCTTCTCTAGTAGAATAACCCGGAACTCTTCGTTGCCTGCCTCGTTGGCGAGTTGCTTCAAGCGAATTGCGGCGGCGAGACCAGCGGGACCTGCAGTAAACCAAAGCTTAGTTAGGCTGCTTTTTTGGGGGGGAACCAATCCGGCGCGAAGCACGTACCACCGCCAACAATACACACATCCACGTCATCTGACTCCCGATCCAATGTGCGAGGATCGAAGTTGCCATCCTCATCGGTGAAGCGCTTTGATAGCGATTGCGAAAAGGCTCGTGTCTGGGTTGGTGCGGTGAATAGTGCCGTTCGCCGAGCTAAAGGTCGACCGGAAGCTGTGAAGGGACTGGCAGAGTGGCGGGCTGGGGTAGCAATGGCGGAGACGGAGGTAGCTCGTGGGAATCGGGAGGATCGAATTTCACGCCTCAATAGAGGCAAAACGGCACCTTTTGATGCCATCGCGGTGTGTGATATTGTTCGGAATTTGGAGGGTGAGACCAGGATTACTAGCGACCAGCAATTGGCATAACTAGGACTAAAGGATGAATGCGGAGAGAATATTTTAGGTAGATCGTAGATCCCGTATGTCCCCAGAGTCCTCGAGTAGCCGAATTTTGAGTGGAAGTGACAAAACGCCGAGAAACCGCCTACCCTCGGCTTATCCCTTTTAGCCAATAGGCAGCTCGGCGATTATACAGCGTGGATGCCTGAGGCATCAATCCATGGATGGATCCCGAAGCGGAAATCGCCTATAGCCGGAGTCCTGTCAAGCTAAACTTTTGTACATTTCATAAATATTATATTACTATCTTTATGTACCTCAACTCTTGCCACATCTGTAGGCACCTGTTTAATACGATATAGATACGGAGTACTCCGCACTGATCACATGCATCACATGCATCACATGCTACATGCTTAGCTTCATAATGAAATATTCCAACGTTCCAACGTTGGCTCCAGACTCATGTATATGCCAGAAACAACCTTAAATAGCCGAGTCATAGCTGTTTCAAGAGTGCGAACCCCGATCCAGATCAGACTGCACCAATGCAGTCTCCCGTTGCCCGTATTATTACTGCATTTTTCGGAATGTGACGTTTGTGCCGTTCCGGGTATGGTATTCAGCATACTATACCATACCAGCATACCGGAATCCTCCAGAAAATGCAAAAATACCACGATATAAACATATGAAACGAGGGGTCACGAAGAACAAAGTTTCAAAATTGGTAGATCTAAATAATAGATCCGAAATCCGAATAATGGATTCGAAGCGTAAAAAAATGACTGATCACCGCTAGATTGCATGCCATAAGATTCATCCAGACTTGGCAGTGGGTCACCGCTGGGCGCCACCGCCTGTTGAGGCAGAATCAAAACGGCCACCTGTCCTAATCGAAATCTCTGGGGGCGAGTCACCGGTTTTAAATGCAAAAAAAAAAAAATAGTAGAGTCGAATCAAATAGAGGCCGTGAGAGATATCTTGCTATTCGAGGTTAGTCCACCAACAATAGTTGGTTTATTGTAGTGATTCCCCGCGGTGAGGTCAGAGAGGTAGGGAAAGAATCAAGGCAAAAAAAATCAGAATTTTTGTTCAGTTGCCATCAGTTAAAGCGGCAAGAGAATAGCGCGTCGTACGTGGAGCGACCGAGAGTAGTTGATGACGATGATTGGATTATTATGGAACGGATGGACTTTCAGCTGCAGGAGGAGCGCGGACTGGCAAACCCAACGCCTGCAACCATGGGCGCGGAGGATAAAGCAAGGGTGTTGGAGCCAGTCAGGGGCTAATATAGACAGATTAGCGGAGTGTGCTGGGCGAATGAAAGTCGGTATAGAAGTTGTGCGGCTTTGATTGGCTCGCAGAGTGGTTTCCCAGAGCCGCTAGCGGGCAATGAAGCCAAGGTTGAAGGGAGAAAGGTCTTGCTGCTTTTACCGCCACCGGCGGCCCAGCCTCCCCTGACCGGGCTGTGACTCAGCACTATATAAAGACCCAACCTCCCCCCATTTTACCTTGGGAATTTTGTCTCGGTCTTGGCGGATCTTATTTTCGGAAATTCTTCTACCCGCTCACCTCAAAGCCTCATCATATCTGCCCGGCTTTCTCTTACTAATCAGATCTATCTCAAGATTGATTTCTCTCTGGACCCTTGATTTGAATTTTTTTTCTTCTTAGGGAGAAAAAAAAAGGGTTTTCGTCCACGGACCTAAATACCATAGAAGTCGAGCCTCAGGTTTCGATTCATCACTCTCTCTTTTTTTCCAGATTCACGCAGATAGACAATCCCATTTTCCAAAAAGCAACGCAAAGAAACATTTCGAAAGAAAAGAAAAAAAAAAGTTGCCGTCCCATAATATCGCCGTCGCGACCATCTTGAAAAAACACTTGAGTGTGATTTTTTTCTTGATTCGTTCACCAGTCGACTGCGTTGGTTTCGTTGCATACACCATCTCGTGATATTCACGAGAGGTTACGTGCGAATACCTCGTAGGGGGATACATTGAGTTGTCCATCTCCCAGGTAAGCCTCCTTCCTTTTCTACATTCGGTTGCACCTTGTCTCCTTTCCTTCGCACCTTTATTGGGTTCCTTCCCTTGGTCCATTTCCACTGGTGGTTCCGTCCCCGTGCCAACACGAGTTTATTCTCTCCACCTATCCACCATCCGCACGTGATTCATCTCGCGACTTTTCGCGATTCAAGCTAACGCGTTTCCTTCACAGTTCCATCTTCTTTACCCGTTACAACTCGAGTATCCATCATGGATTCTCTCACCACCCACCCTTCCAATGCGCAGCAGGCACGTGCCTTCACTGCTACCTCGTCGCTGTCCTTCCCTGGTGGCGCTGGGGATCTGACCCCACCCAACTCCGACAAGGAGGCCATGGCGCAGGGCGCTCAGGGCGGAAATGGTATGAATGGCCAGCCTGGAGGAAATGCCATTCATGGCACCGGGGTGACTCCCGCTTCTCCTGCTACCCCCGCCGCGACCCCTGGTGCGACCACGGGAAGCAGCGGCATTGTCCCAACCTTGCAGTGAGTATACTCTGGACGTTTTTCTGGGTGACCAGAATGGCTGAACTAGTTATTCCAAAAGGAACATCGTTGCTACTGTCAACCTTGACTGTCGTCTTGACCTTAAGACTATTGCGCTGCACGCACGCAACGCCGAGTACAACCCAAAGGTATTTATCACCCATTCCTCACATTGCCCTGACAGGGCCCACATCAGGGTACAATGTGGCTGAACTTGGTTCTCTCCTTAGCGTTTCGCTGCCGTCATCATGCGTATCCGTGAACCTAAGACTACCGCGCTCATCTTCGCCTCCGGCAAGATGGTTGTAACTGGTGCCAAGTCTGAGGATGATTCAAAGCTGGCTTCGCGCAAGTACGCGCGTATTATTCAGAAGCTTGGTTTCAACGCCAAGTTTACCGATTTCAAAATCCAGAACATCGTCGGCTCTTGCGATATCAAATTCCCCATCCGTCTGGAGGGGTTGGCCTCTCGTCACCACAATTTCAGCTCCTACGAGCCTGAGTTGTTCCCTGGTTTGATCTATCGCATGATGAAGCCCAAGATCGTTCTCCTGATTTTCGTCAGTGGCAAGATTGTCCTGACTGGCGCTAAAGTCCGCGAGGAGATCTACCAGGCTTTCGAGCTGATCTACCCTGTGCTTTCTGGTATGCTGCCTTACTGGATTTGCTCCCATCAAACTTTTACTGACTTGTATCCGCAGATTTCCGTAAGGTCTAAACAAAGCTTCAAGAGGAGATCACTCATGCATTCTCAACCTGTATTAACATTGCTTTTTCCCTGAGTGCTGTCGGCTTTAGTCGACACCTCACTTTTTTCCTTCGGTTCTTACGACTCTTTTCATGCAAGCATAGTTGGGCGTTTTTAGCGATTCGGATGATCCCCGGTTTTCACACTTTCGCGTTCTTCCACACAATTAGATTGCTGCACACCGCAGGGAGGCGGTTGTGCGCCGGTCGATGACTGCCTCGATTTAATCATTTATCGTTCTACGGTTTCATCTGTGGGGGATTGCTTTATTCCCACGGGCCAAAAAAAATTAATGGTGACCTATGGCAGTCTGTTAGATTCAATTCCGTCCTTGCTTTCCCTATCTGGGGCTTGCTGGACCGGCTTTTGCCGTGATACTACCTCTGAATAGTCAATGAAAATCTCTTGACAACTTTCCTCTATGCTCGAGTAAATCTAGCTTCAGTCTCGACCTTTGCTCGCGCTTGGTCTGTAGTATAAATGCCTTTGTACATCTAACGTTGATATAAATCACACCAAGGAATATATCCCTAAAGAACACTGCTGCGCGAAGCTTTCTTGGTCTTTGCCAACTCGTCCTTCAAAATCGCTCTCCTCTCCCCAGACCGACTACCATCGCCATCAAAGTCCTCTTCATCCGACACAGCAGTCTCAGGCCACGCCCACATCTTACTCAACTCGGAATCAAGTGTGCCCTCTAGCGCATCAACAATCTTGTCTCCAATGACAGGGAAGAACTTGAACCCATGGCCACTACCGCCGGTAGCAAGGAAAAGACCTTCGTGATCAGGATGATAAGAAACAATGAAGTCACCCGTGGGCCTGTTAAACGATATTAGCACCAACCCCACGCAACCTCCCAGCTCGCAGCTGGCAACGAAAGGACCAAACTCACGTATCAGTATACCAACAAACCCTCGTATCAACAAATTCCCTCTCGGCAAACCGCGGCAGAAGCTGCTTCAACGCAACCCGGAAAGCATCCTGTCCTTCAAGCGGTACAGGAACCCCCTGCTCAGGTAGACTAACCATCATCGAACCCGAAACCCCAACACCAGGAACCGGCACCTCAACCGGATTGCGATACCCATATGCATGTCGCGCAATCTTAAGCAGATTATCCCGGGGTGGGATAATGAAAATGCCCGTCGCGAAGTTCAAGATCGTAGGCAAATTCTCCAACTCACGCTGCTCCTCATCGGAGATCCGCATATAAGCAATCGCCTGACCGGTCGCAACAGCTCGGCCACGCAAGTCAACTAACTTCGAAGTCCACGCGCCAGTCGCCAGCACAACCAAATCCGCCTCGAGAGTCGAACCATCCGTCAAGACGACACCGGTAGCTTTAGGCTTTGCGCCGTTCGTGTCGTACAGCACACGCTCGACATCACCAGTGCGGAAGACAACCTTCCCTTCAGCATCGAGGAGGGTCTTAGCATAGTGTACGCTGGCAGCGGCATCAGACCATCCAGACCCCCAGTTCACGTAGCCACCGGCGACATCGAGGGTCGAGCCGTAGGCCGGGACAACGCCGAGGACGTCCGCTTGGGTCGGTAGGAAAGTGACATTGTCGCCCTCGATCTGGCGCACGTTGGTGTAGCTCTTGCGCGCGTACTCCTTGGCACTGGCACTGTCTTCTGGGTACACCAGTAGCAGGCCGTTCTGCGTGTAGC